TCGCCTTGACAAAAATGTAGATAAAAATTCTTCATTTTATTTTTATCTGAATTAGTTTTGATTACAGATTTAGACAGAAAAGAGAAAAAGGATATTGACAGAATTATAACACTTAAAAACAGTTGAAGGTGTAAAGGTCTAAAATTTTTGGTCGCTTGAATTACGTTGACAAGCTCCTTTAAGAAAATGATTTGTCTTAAAGGTTTAGTTTACTTAACAGAGAAATGTCGTCTTTTCTTAAATATCTTCACTCGATTTATGATATTATCCTCTAAAATGCAAATCTTGGTTTTAAATTCCGGATGATAATTTGTTTCAAACCCCGAAGTGCAAAATTGGGTTCCAAAATAAATTTAAAAAATAGATGTGCAAAAATGATATGATAATACAATGCAGATTATTAATTTTTGCAATTTAGAGAGCGCAAAATATTTTGCTAAATCGAGGTCAACGATTTCCCAGACAGGACTAGGGATAAACAGATAGAACTAGAGATTCAACAGATAGAACTAGAGATAAAACAGATAGGACTAGAAATTAAATAGATAGAACTAGAGATTCAACAGATAGAACTAGAGATTCAACAGATAGAACTAGAGATTCAACAGATAGAACTAGAGATTCAACAGATAGACATAGAAATTAAACGGATAGAACTAGAGATTAAACAGATAGGATTAGAGAATAAATATTTAAATTAACAAGGGTATTGAACAATTTAAAAAGATCAGAAGAAATACATAAATTTTTTTCCAAGTTAGTCCATATTTTTTTTTTATTTAAATGTTTTGAAATCTAGCTATAATAGAAACCATTGTTAGAAATCTACTGAAATGTTTTGATGAAACATTTAATTACCCCCAGGATTCTAGGGGGGGGTATTTACCCCCAGGATTCTAGGGGGGGGTAAATAACCCCAATAACCCCCCTTATATCCGCCACTGCCTATGTGCTTTACAATATAAAGTAAATCTGGCAAACATTTTGCAGCGTAAAAAAGTAACCTATCGTATATCTATTTTTAATGTTTTGCAACCAAATTTAATAATTTTGCGCGAATCTGAAATTGTAAATTGAAAAACAATGATTACATAGTTATTGGTTATATTTGATTGGTTAGGACAGAATTACATGAACTTTTCAATTTTGTGCAAAATATGATAAACGTTAATTTATTCTCTAATTAAAACTCAGTGCATTCAACTATTAAATTCTGTAACCTTTAACCGACTTTAAATTATATATTTCAAATTGACAATGTACAGGGTGAGTCAAAAAAAGTGTGATTAGCGGCGCCTGGAGCAAAATTGTACCTTTTTTTGCAACTCTACTGTATGGTGTTTTTCAATATTTTTTGAAAATTTAAATTTTTCGTTGGAACTCCCAATGGCCCCAAAAAAATCCGGGAACCTATTTTCTCTTAAAAGCAAAAGTTCAGAAAAGCAAAGATTTGTATATAAATTATTTCTATCGAAATATAAAATTTTATAAAGATTGAATCACAGTATCACAGAAAATTCGCAAAATTGTAATAAAAATTAGCCATTTCAGTTCTGGTCTTATTTTTAAGGAAAAAGTGGGCTTTCAATGGTTCTTCCGGTTTCAACTGAACAGCGTATATTTATAATGTTAGAATATACTTAAAAGAAATATAGAATTTAAATAACTTTTCCTTAAAAATTAGACCAAAACTGAAAATTGCTAATCACACTTTTTTGACTCACCCTTTATGTATCAGCAAATTATACCCTTCTTTTTCTATTTGGAAAATTATTTGTTTAAGAGTTAAAACTAGGGTTTCCAATCGGAATTTTGTTGTGCGGAATTGCGCGCAGCTGTTATCGAATTGCACGCAGCTGTTCTCAAATTGCGCGGAATTGTGCGGCATTTCGAAGAGTTTACAGGGCTAGCAATTGCGCGCAAGTAAATTCAACTTGCGTTGGAATTGGAAAGCCTACTTGAAACTCTGATTTCCTTATCCCTATATCTTTACAAAAGACTGTCAATAGACCTTAGATATTTTAAGCATGAATTCTGATAGAGCAAATCATATATAAGCTTGAAGTTGAAATATCAAAGGTTTTCACCATATAGGTTGCAAAGACAGTTTGAGTTTGTTGCAAAGACTTGATTAATTTACAACAAAAATAGCTAATTTTTCTTCATAAAACTTAAGTAAAAATTTCAGATGAAATCAAAACGAAACATCCTTATTTGAATATGACCTAAAAGTCTAAAAGTAAAAAATGTGATTATTATCTTAAAAAAGACTTTTAATTTGCGTTAAAAAACTTGATAAAGCGATTTAGTAAAGCTTAAACAAAAATGTACGTACTAAACAGCATCTGAGGATGAGATCAGTTTTGGAATTAAGATGATTTATTCGCAATAAAAACTATTCATATGTTTGAATATCTTACGACTTTTTTGTGTGGGGGGGATTGGGGGTTACTTTTTTAACTTTTAAAGTTTCTATGAAAATAATATTTTCTGAAAAGGGTCAAAAGGTTCTGAAAAAAAACTTAGTTGACATATCTTTAATTAAGAAATCATAAAAGTAAGTTTCATGTTATGAATCACGTAGTAAAGTTGAATTTCTAGATCTATTTAATTTTTCATGAGTTTCGTAACTAATTCCAGGAAAAAATGCAAACCCCAATTCCAGGGAATAAAAATCCTAGATTTACGTTGAAAATAAATGCCTTGTATTTAAACGACATTAATAACATTCTAAATGCTTGGTTAAATTCTGTGAAATAAAACAAATTTATAAATTTAATTATATTTATTTCAATATTTTACATCACAAACTTGACACGAATCCGTTTGAAGAGTTGGGACTCTTGTATAATAGTCACAGTGCCTGGTGTCATGTTATATATAATGATCATACGATTTATAATATATATAGATATATAATTTCGATCTAAATAGTACACACCATACAGAACTGGGACTCTTGTTTGTTTTAATCCAATCTGTTGGGTGATTACGTTCAGTGTAAGGTACTTTCCCAAGAGATGCTCCAATATTTTTCCCAAGAAGGGAAGCTTTCAAGGTGTAGTGTATTCCATAGGCTATAGCTTCTCAAGCGAGCTTTTTTCCAGTGGAAGCTTCTCAATAGTATTTTTTCCCAAGGGGAGCTTCCCATTTGCACTGTTTACCAAGGGCTACTTCCAAAGTGTAATATCTCCAAATTGGACTTTTCCCAAGAGCAGCTTAATTCTTATGTAAACTTTCTCCTAAGTTAACTTTTCCCCAAGAGCAACTGTGAACATTTTCCCATTTTGGAACATTTAATTAGAAAGATGTTTTAATGGGGAAAGTATGTATTTGTAAAATTTGCCTAATGCTTCCCAAATTCTAGGTTAGAGTGTGTTCCAAGGACATGCTAGGGGACTTTGATAAGGATCATTTTGGAAAATGTTAAAATAATCAGTCTTTTGTGAAAGTACCTTACACCTTCAACCCGTCCGTTCAAAGAAAACATATATTTAACTAATAAACTCATCACAACAATATCACTAGTAAAACTTGAACCAACGAGATGAAAACAATATGAATTAAACATTAACAATACTAGACAACATCTATATATGATGGTCATAAAAAATTTGATTTTAAATCACACAGTTTTGGAGAAAACACGACCGAGAATGGCCGCTACAAAAATGGAGTTCTTTTTTACATGTAGTTGAAAATAATAAATTGAGTATGTTCGTATACTGACAATACAATAATCACCGGGACTGGAATTAAAATCAATTAGATCAACGGATCAAATGTTCAGTTAATAAATACATGATGCCCTTGATCAAATATGGAGGCATAAAATAAATCCTCTGTAAAGACTAGTATTAAGGATTCATATTTAGCTGGGATTAAAAACACTCAAAAATATTCTTACACCCCCCTTAGAGGGGGGGGGGGGGGGGGTAAACGCCCCCCTCATGAGAGGTGAGGGTGAATTTAAATAATGGAATGTTTACAAATGAAAAATATGGTGGCTGGGAACAAAAACCTAAATTCTATCAAAATCTCTTTTCAATTTTATCGTTGACATGGCACCTAGTAAAGACACTACAAATTTAATAATGAATAATGAACAAGATTTAAATGGATTTGGGGGACACAACTTCGAGTTTCTTCTTAAGAATCTCGAAGTTTGAAGGAAGCTCGAATAATTTCGAAGTAAAGAGGAGAAGGCAGATATGGAAAGTTATGTAACGGATTTGTTCGTCAAGGTTTTGGCGCATTTTTTAGAGAGAGGGGGGTAAAGTGTTGAAGGGGGAGGAGGGTAAAATGGAATAGTAAAAAGATGAGGGGGAGATTTAGAGAATTGAATAAAAAATGTACAAACTGAATTGATAATGATGATGTAAACAAAATAAATTTACATAATTATTCTTTAGAATTTTCTACAATGAGAGTCATGACTGGTACAAGAGAGAGATTATAGAGGCAAAAACAAGAAAAATTTTAACATTTAATGTTCAAAATTTCGTCGTGAAATATCCGAAAAATTTCTAGACTTTAGATTACCCCCTTTAGGAGCGCAGCAAAAAAAAACTGTAGGAAACTAATTCCATATTTTCGGAATTATAAAAACTATTTTTATAATTAGAATGGTGATGATTTAATCATCTGAAGAATGGGCTGTTTTGATGGGTTTTTTAAACAAAAAGGCATTAAATTATTAATTTTTTTTCAATTTAATTTCAAATTGTTAAAAGCAACATTTTAAATTTGTTTTCTTCATATTTTTACCTTTTTACTCAAACTTTTTGATTTAGATTTCAAATTTTATCAATTTTTCTATTTAGCAGTTTAAAAAAATTGGTCTTTTTGTGCCTGGGTTAAAATTTTTTTGGTAGTTTGTGCTTTACTATTTTGTGAGAAAGAGTNTTACTGACAAAATTTTGAGTTTTCAATTAACATGAGTAATCTTTTTGACTATTTTTTGAGTCCTCATTGCTACGTTTTTGCGGACTTTTCAGTCCTCTCTGAACGACTATGGACTTTTAAAGTCCCTGCATGATGTTAAGTCCGTTTGACTGAATAAATCTTGTTGGACGATTGTTGATGATAGTCTGGACTACTACTTGATGTTGGACTACTCTAGTTCCGTGAATATTGAGACCAATCTTTGAGACCAATAAGAGATGGTTCAGCAATAGTTCGTCTTGGACGATACACTGCACCTCTCATATATCACTGAAAACAAATAAAAAATTATTCACAATTTCAAAAATATAAAAAATTTAAAATATATTGAGCTCAATACATAGTCATCTGTACATAGGATAGGGCTCTTATTCATAGAGGTCATGCTTAATACTTATAGACTAAAGGAAATGAGTTTTTACAACAAGCTCAAATTTTCTAATTACTATATCTTTGCAACCTGATGGTGTAAACCTATAATGTTTCAAACTTATGTTAATAGATTAGAATTCATAGTTTGAAATAACAAATGTCTACGACTTCGGGTTGCAAAGATACGCGGATAAAAAAATCAAGTTTATGGCAAGAACTCATCTCCTTTATGACTTTAAATAGTCCATTGAACATCAGACACAGCAATAGATTTGTGTTTACAGAGCCCATTAACTTGATAAGTGATTTAATAAGGTTACTAGTGACACTATTTGCTCTGAGGCCGAACTTGAAGGATTTGAGCCGCGGCTTAAATTTAAGCCCGGGCTCAAGTATGGTTGGTTCCACTTCAAATTGTATTCAATATTTCAAGATTTAGGCTGGTGCTCAATTGAAACCGGTATTTGGGGGATTTGAGACGCAGATTACATTAATTAAATTCGGACACTGTAACATCATCAAATACACAAAAGTATTGCTCTACTGTCGTCTTCTTATTTCACAGTTTCCTGATTCTTTCTGTAGAAATTTTACATAAAGCTCATACACAGATCTCGTAATTAAATACGATTCATGCACAGAGATGTATAAATATATTATTCAAGTTTAAATCGTTAAAATCTCCAAAAGTTTCCGGAATATTTATCTTAAAGATACATATTTGATGGGGGAGGGGGGGGGGGCAGTGTAATCAAGAAAAATGATAACAGATTACTTAACAAAAATTACATTTTCATCAACAATGCGTTTGCTTGAAGAATTGAAATTAATGTCTCTTCGATTTTATGTTCTACGCTTTGATTAGATAACTTTTAGAAAATCATCTAAAAAAAGATGCTCTTTTTTAAACTCTGCAATAACTGATTGCCATCGTTTCATATCTTTAAAAAGAATTCTTAATCTTGGATTACAACATTTCTTGAAAACGACTCGTGGATTTTTACACAAGAATAGTCAAAAAATTGGCAACATTTGTTTGATAGCTTATATCAAATGCTGGGATATTTTTATTGGAAATCCGGCTAAGCCTACGATCTTAGCGGCCTTTTACTCGATTTCCAGTAGACAAACTTAAAAGGAATTGAGCCTTTGCCACAAACTTTGATTTTCTAATCTCTTTAACTTTGCAACAGAATGTCTTATACCTTAGATATTTCAAACTATGAATTATGTTAAATTAAATAATTTAAGATTTTCACTAAAAGCAAGCAAAAATATAATAATTAGAAAATTTGTATTTGTGGCAAAAACTCAATTCCTTTGTCGCCAATAATAACATTTTACATCTTAAGCCTAGGAATCTTAGAATCGTTGACAATTTGACCACACTACTACTTACAAGGTAAAATCCTGAAAGAAGTAATTATCAGTTCTAAAATGAATAATTGCCTTTGACAACAAAAAAGTTATAAGGGAGTTAGTGGGGTCAAACGTAATCCAAGGTGTTGTTGCGACAAACTTGAAAATTGATACAACCTTTTATAGCAGTCCATGGACCTATGTGCTTTACAATATAAAGCAAGTTGATTCAAACTTGAAAATTGATACAACCTTTCATAGCAGTCTGCTGGACCTATGTGCTTTACAATATAAAGCAAGTTGATTGAAACTTGAAAATTGATACAACCTTTCATAGCAGTCTGCTGGACCTATGTGCTTTGCAATATAAAGTAAGTTGATTCAAACTTGAAAATTGATACAACCTTTCATAGCAGTCTGCTGGACCTATGTGCTTTGCAATATAAAAAAAGTTGATTCAAACTTGAAAATTGATACAACCTTTCATAGCAGTCTGCTGGATATATAAATCTCTACCTGACATCATTGTTGATATCTCTGTAAAGCTATCTAGGCAGACCTACTTCCATCTAAACACAAAAATTTTTTAAAAAAGGTTAAAAAATTACTTTTTCTGTTTGGAACCCTTTTCTCATCGTACAGTAGGACCCTTAAAACTCTAGAAAAAGCAAATGCCTGTTGAACTCAACTAAGATTTTCAAGAGTCCAATGTCAAGTTAGTAATTTTACGGACACATTTCACTTAAAAAGTTAATTTTCAAGCTACTAGAAAAACTGTTTTCTATATAGATTTTTACAGCGCTATACAGTTTTGTACAGATTTGTACAGTTTTGTACAGATTTGACCAGTTTTGTACAGATTTGTACAGTTTTGTACAGTTTTATACTATTTATGAGTCCCACTGTATATAATTCCATTCAGCAAAAACTATTTTTGCTAATTTTTCATAGATTTAGACAAATTTGCCAAAGGAATTGAGTTTTTGCAACAAACTTATATTTTCTAACCCCAATATCTTTGCAACCTGATGGTGTAAACCTTTGATATTTCAAACTTAGACTACTTGATCTACCAGAATTAATAGTTTGAAATATCAAAGGTCTAGAAAAACAGGTTGCTAAGTTATAGGAATAGGAAAATCTGAGTTTGTGGCAAAAACTCAATTCCTTTATATGCAAATTTTTAACACAAACCCTGAGTTTCTTTTTATACACAGACTGATTTAATAATGAAAAATATGTCAAAACATGTTGAAAAATCGCTCTGAGATGGGGGGACAGGGGGGGGGGAGTTTAAGGGATATTTACTTAGCAAAATACACAGAAATATTGGGCTGAGACATGTGCTATAAAAGATGGATTGCCGTATAAACATATAGATAGATAGATAGATAGATAGATAGAAAGATAGTTATGTAGACAGACAGATATATAGATTGACAGATGGCAGGAGAAAAAAATTAATCCCCCCCCCTTCCAAAAAAACAAATTCCTGTATATGCCCCTGGATGGATCATTATAGATTTATTAGATCTTTTTTACTAGTATTTACATTGTTTTGCGCCCTATCTATGTTTGGCCATGTTAGAAGAGTAAATAAAATAATTGTTACAGGGGTATATATTATCTTGAAAATAATTTTAAAGGTTTTATTCACTGAATTAATTTAAAAATGATTTTTGGTAAAATTAAATAAATTTTTCAGTGAAAAGTAGTTAAGAGTATTGTGGGTAATTCTTTAAACTAGGATAAGGTCAAAGAATCAACAATTTAATTTTGAATCAGTAAATTACTTTTCATTCAGTTTCGGACATGTAAATTATGGATTTAATATATAAACAGATACAAGGACGTCTTTACAATTTAAAATATGGAAATATATGGTTAAAGTTCAAAGTTGCATGTCTGATTTATAAAGGTACCTCAAAAAAATGTTATTTGGTAACATTTTATAGAAATTATTTGGTAACATTTTATAGAAATTATTTGGTAACANTGATTAAGCACAGAAATAAACCAGTTTTTTGTCTACAAGGAGGCCTGAATGCAAGAAACCGAACTAAATTAATTCCGTACAATCGTCTCTTTTAAATATTATTTAGTAACACTTTATAAATATTATTTTGCAACACTTTATAAATATTATTTGGTAACATTTTTAAAATATTATTTAGTAACACTTTATAAATATTATTTTGTAACACTTTTTAAATATCATTTGGTAACATTTTATAAATACTATTTAGTAACACTTTATAAATATTATTTTGTAACACTTTATAAATATTATTTTGTAACACTTTATAAATATTATTTGATAACATTTTATAAAATTATTGGGTAACATTTTATAAATATTAATTGGTAACATTTTACAAATATTATTTGGTAACATTTTATAAATAATATCTGGTAACATTCTAAACATGTAATAACATTGAATAATTTGTTTAGGCCTAAGTTTCTAAAATGTTATTATGCAAACAATGATTTAAAGAGCTGTCATTTTCTAATTGAGTATGACAAGTGGAATCCCTCAAATCTTATTGTCAATGACAGAGAGAGAGAGTGGAAAATAATTGTCTGCATAATTAAAAAATATGCCCGATGCAATTCTTTGCAGGGGGAGATACCATTTAGAGGAGATAAGACAAGCGGGGGTGGGGAAGGTTCAAATTTCTACATTAAATATAAACTCATTTCATAGTTTGAAATCTGACATGTTTCTTCTTCTATGAGCTAGTCATACGAATTTTTTTGTTTGAAATCCTTGAATGCAAGGATTCTCTTTCGCCATTTTGACAACTAAAGGAGTTCTAAGGTCACAAAATCGTAACTGTAATTTAACAGTAATTTGTTGAGATTGGGATGGTCTGTTTATAGACGTAAAATTGTTGAAATTCGAAATTTTTTATTTGATTTGAGAGATATAATCAAACTAAAATTTGGAGAAATATAAGTAATAAAGTAGGGGAGAAGGGGATGATGTAGGGTGTGGAATGGGTTCCAAGGGGATGATGTAGGGTGTGGAATGGGTTCCAAGGGGATGATGAAGGGTGTGGAATGGGTGGGCTGGATCAGTTGAACTTGATTGTAGATTTGTGAGTCTAATATATAGTAACTATAGTCTCTACTACTCTAATACTAGAAAATCAATACTTCTAGGGAATCTTACACACAGAGATATAGAGAACTATATCGATAAACCAAAATGTTTTCAGATATTTAAACATTTTACAATTCTTGTAAAAACATAATAAAATTAGAATATTATAATCTTCCAAATAAGTTTGGTGAATATCATAAGATTTGAAAATTTAAAAAGCAACATTTTTTTTCTTCAGAATTAAAACTTTTAAGAATGAAAAAATAAATCTTTTTTTTAGTTGTTAATTTTATATTTATGATATTTATGATATTTCTCATCATAAATTCATTGAATCAATACTGATGGAGATATCCTTGCTTCTGAAGAATGATTATTTAGATATCTCTAGGATTAATCCGCGAAATAATCCAGTTAAAGTGTGAAATTTAAAGAGTTTTTCAAGATAGGAAAACAACGATATCTTCCACATTATTGCCATAGAGAATAGAATATATATTAGAGAGGAATTTAAAGAATCTCTCGGTATGAATTTTTTCAGTCCCTTTCAGCCTGAAAGGGAGTTCAAAGTGTACAAATCATGTAAATGTTCACAAATTATATGCAGTAGAGTACATTAATACAGTATGTTCCCAAGACTATTCATTTCAATTTCGAAATTTTTAAAGCTGTTAAATAAACTTTATAATGAATTAGGTGAATAAAAACCATCATTTGATTTATAGTTATAACGGTAAATCATCGTTTGTAAAGTGAAAGGCATAGAGTCTATGTAAAATGATCATTGGTCAATTATGAAACCAGCCTATTTCAGAATTTGGTTTACTTTTAACATTAATTTTAGATTTTCTATAAAATGATATTCCAGGGCCCAAAAAGTTATATAGCATAAATATGTGAAGTACACCTGCAGTATGGAAACAGTACAACAAAATGGCCGTTTTACACTTTTTTCTAGTAAATTCACCTCTAATATATATTCTATTCTCTTTGATTATTGCTCTGTTTCTGAGACACCCTGTGAAGCCGAAACCAATAGGAAGAAAGTATCTCCTGGATTTGGGCCAGATATAAACTTTTTTACACCTCAGAGCTAGAAACTTAAGACCGGGTTTCATAAAGAAACCCAGTATCGGAAACCGGTTTTATGAATTAGGGGCAGAACGTTTTGTAGATTCCTATTTTAGTATTAAATATTATTTCATAAAATGTTTTTTTTTATTTGTTTTATTGTTTTCTGATTTTTAAAATTAAAATCTACGCAAATGTTAAGACCCCAAAAAGGAAACTCGGGAAAATCGTCCAACGATACTCTTTTAAATTTCCAGTTCAGTACTTCACTAAGAACTAAGGATCACGAAACCAAGAGGGGGGGGGAGGGGGAGGGAAGCTTGGGGTTAGTCGTTGATGCCAAATTCTACAAGAATAGCAATAAAGAAAAAAGGAGAATCGGTAAGAGGGGGAACAAAATAGTTTTACTTGATAGCTTAACTCAATTCCTTTTACTACAATTTGGTGCACATATGTATTGTATAGCTTACATAGTTTAATAATTATATGAACTTTTCTTCAAAGATATAACATCTAGAGTTGTGTCTGTTCACCCTTTTGAAATCGGCTCAAGAGAATATATCGTCATACCACATTTTTAGAAATCAAAAAACACTAGACTAGGACCAAGAGACTCTATTTCTGAAAACCGCCTTTAATTAACTAAACTACAGGGTTACCCACACAGGATCAGACTGTAAAGACGACCCAAAACTATAGAAATATGACTATTTGAAGCCTAGTTTTTGGATTTTGCATTCAATGGAGTTTTTAATGGTTAACTACATGATTAAGCACAGAAATAAACCAGTTTTTTGTCTACAAGGAGGCCTGAATGCAAGAAAACGAACTAAATTAATTCCGTACAATCGTCTCTGAAGTCTCAACCGTTGTGGGTAACCCTCTATACTCATGCTAAAAGTCTTTTATGGCATCTTTTTTTTCGGCAAACCCTGTCAATCATAAAATGCGATATCCAGAGAAAATTAAATTGTAAACTTCTATATTGTTTAATGGAATTATACTTTAGACAAATATAAATGCAAAGAGAATAGAATATATAGAGAGGAATTTACTAGAAAAAAGTGTAAAACGGCCATTTTGTTGTACTGTTTCCATACTGCAGGTGTACTTCACATATTTATGCTATATAACCTGTTGGGCCCTGGAATATCATTTTATTGAAAATCTAAAATTATTGTTAAAAGAAACCCAAATTATAAAATAGGCTGGTTTCATAATTGACCAATGATCATTTCACATAGACTCTATGCCTTCCACTTTATAAACGATGATTTTCCGTTATAATTATAATTCAAATGATGTTTTTATTCACCTAATTCATTATAAAGTTTATTTAACAGTTTAAAAAATTCGAAATTGAAATGAATAGTCTAGGGAACATACTGAATTAATGTACTCTACTGCATATAATTTGTGAACATTTACATTATTTGTACACTTTGAACTCCCTTTCAGGCTGAAAGGGACTGAAAAAATTCATACCGAGAGATTCTTTTAATTCTTCTCTATATATTCTATTCTCTATGTATAAATGATTAATATGTAAAAAATGCATTGCTTGATAATTTTATGGTTTGTGATTAGTCAACATCACTGACAAAGAATGAATTTAATAAATGTTTAAAATAGTCTCTTTTTTACAATGGCTTATTATAAAGTTTAACCGTGAGAAAACATGAAAACTATTATGTTTGCAATATTAATATTTTAAAATTTCTTATTTGCAGTAATCTCTCTCCAATATGTAAAATAAGATTTATATAATTATGTCCGTCTTCAAGTATTGTTTAGAAAGAAAATTTCTCAACTGTTGCAACAAATACATGCTTCAGGTCACTTTGCAATTCCTATTTATGCATGAAAATCAGACAGATAGATAGATAGATAGAAAGATAAGAAAAATACATAGATAGAGATATTAAAATACAAATTAGGACGTTTTAATATGCTAAATGCATTTTCTGAATGTTGCGAATAAGAAAATGTTGAAATCTTTAATGTTAATGGTTTAAAATTTCATATTTGTGAAAAGTATTCTGTCAACAGAATTTGAAATTCTCTTAAATTATGCAGATAATTCCAATGAGCCCTTTTCTTTTCCTGAATAATCAAAAAAGTTTAAGAATTAAAGTTAAAGATAAAACTTCCAATGTAAAAAAATTACCAAAAACAAAAAGAAAACTTAAAGTTTGACATTAAAAAAATATTTATAATTATTTCCTAATACTTATGATAAAAAAATTCAATGAAATGAAAAAAGGAATAAATGTCAAACATTTTTGTGTAAAAGTTTACGACGTGTACATGTAAAGTACATGTACATGTAAAATCAAGTTTACGACGTGTACATGTTAAGTACGTGTACATGTAAAATAAAGTTTACGAGTACATGTAAAATAAAATTTACGACGTGTACATGTAAAATAAAGTTTACGACGTGGACATGTAAAGTGAAAACGTACGGTTCTTCATGTAAAACTTATGAACAGTGAATTGTTCACTGTTCACTTTACATAATAAATTCGAATAAATGGTTTCTAAATGTTTTTTAAATTATTTTTAAAAGTTAAAAATGAAAGAAATGGGAGGGGGTAGAGGTTGGACTTTGAACATATTGCATCTAAGTACATAGATACAGCAAAGTATGAAATGTTGCAACATTTCAATGATATATTTTTAAGAAAAAAAAATAGTAAAGCTAAAGTAAAACAGAAAAATAAAGAAAGAAATAAAAAATAGACAAAAATTCAGATAAGAAATTCAGTAAAAAAAACACAATATATGAGAGAGGAATTATGAAAAACACAGTATATGAGGGAGGAATTATGAAAAACACAATATATGAGGGAGGAATTATGAAAAACACAATATATGAGGGAGGAACTATGAAAAAACAGTATATGAGGGAGGAATTATGAAAAACACAGTATATGAGGGAGGAATTATGAAAAAAACAGTATATGAGGGAGGAATTATGAAAAACACAATATATGAGGGAGGAATTATGAAAAACACAATATATGAGGGAGGAATTATGAAAAACACATTATATGAGGGAGGAATTATGAAAAACACAATATATGAGGGAGGAATTATGAAAAACACAGTATATGAGGGAGAAATTATGAAAAACACAGTATATGAGGGAGTAATTATGAAAAACACAATATATGAGGGAGGAATTATGAAAAATACAGTATATGAGGGAGGAATTATGAAAAACACAACATATGAGGGAGAAATTATGAAAAATACACTATATGAGGGAGGAATTATGAAAAACACAATATATGAGGGAGGAATTATGAAAAACACAGTATATGAAGGAGAAATTATGAAAAACACAGTATATGAGGGAGTAATTATGAAAAACACAATATATGAGAGAGGAATTATGAAAAATACAGTATATGAGGGAGGAATTATGAAAAACACAATATATGAGGGAGGAATTATGAAAAACACAATATATGAGGGAGGAATTATGAAAACACAATATATGAGGGAGGAATTATGAAAACACAGTATAAGAGGGAGGAATTATGAAAACACAACATATGAGGGAGGAATTATGAAAAACACAATATATGAGAGAGGAATTATGAAAACACAATATATGAGGGAGGAATTATGAAAACACAATATATGAGGGAGGAATTATGAAAAACACAATATATGAGGGAGGAATTATGAAAAACATAAAGTAAAAATGCAATCTAATGTTCTGGATTTGAATGATCAATCGGAGTAAGAATCGAAAAATCAATCGATCAATTGATCTTGAATAAATGATTAACGAACCTGTGAATCAGAGAGAACGTAGTAAAGAGACCCAGAGCCTGGATCTGAAAAAAAAAATTAATCTCAACTTTAATCTCGACTTTAATCTCAACTTTAATCTGGACTTTATTCTAAACTTCAATCTTGACTTTAATCTCAACTTTAATCTCGACTTCATTCTAAACTTTAATCTCGACTTTAGACTAATTCTAATCCCAAATAATCTCAACTTTAAGCCTAGCTTTAAGCTCGACTTTAATCTGAATTTTAATGTCAAGTTTAGGCTTAACTTAATCCAATTATTGGTATACTGCGTATAATTTTCATTTTATCTAGAAAATATAAAAATTGTTTTCTTTAATTAAAGAAAATAAATATTGTGAAAGTCACGAAATCTCGATTATTTGGAGATACAGGGTGTCCCACGAAGCATGACAGTTGGTGAATAGTTTTTAATGTCTTGTTCCACATACTGTATTAGACTTTTTGCAGTTTATTTCTTTAAAAAAATGTTTAACTCATAAAGATTTTACTGTGAAATCAATTTTACTATAATATAACTGTCATATAAAAACAACATCAAATTATGAAAGAAAACATTTTAAACTATTCACCAACTGTCATGTTTCGTGGGACACCCTGTAATAACCCATAATATTTATTTATATATCTAATCGTATCTACAAAGAATCCGAATTTCTTGACAATTTGAAAGACGACTTTAAGATCGTCTTTAGTATTTGCAAACATTTGCGGCATTCATGTGTTAACATATTTTTGTATTTCAATTTATTATATAAAACTAAAACTGTCCATCTTCAGTAATCCTAAAAGGCAGACTGCACTGGAATTACCAGGACTATATATATGATTAATGTTTCAAGGATGATACTTAGGTTGACAAATGAGAGCCAAAAGTTATTTCCCAGAACAAAGACGATCTTCAAGTTATTTCCCAGAACAAAGATGATCTTCAAGTTCTTTCCCAGAACAAAGACGATCTTCAAGTTATTTCCCAGAACAAAGACGATCTTCAAGTTATTTCCCAGAACAAAGACGATCTTCAAGTTATTTCCCAGAACAAAGACGATCTTCAAGTTATCTCACAAATTAATATTTGGAAACATTTGAGTCTTTGCTACATACCCTGATTTTATAATCCTTATATTTTTGCAGCCCAATGTCGTAGACCTTAGATAATTCAAATTATGAATTCTGTTAGATCAAATAATTTAAGTTTGAAACATCAAGGATTTGCACCATCAGGTTGAAAAGTATAATTGAAATAAAGAAGAAATTATATTTATGAGGATATATCTGAAAAGTTAATTAACTGAAGAGGAAACCCAGTAATTGAAATAAATTGAGAGCTGGAAAAGAAAGAGTTTTATCATTGATCCTCAATCGGGTTTTTTTTCTTTGAGGTGAACCCGTTGTCTTCAAAATAAGATGGTACGTATTTAATTGAGGATATGACAGTGAACGTGACACTGTACAGTGAACAAACTTTAATTATCTAATTTCTTTAGCTATGCAACCTGATGATGAAAACCTTTTATATTTCGTACTACAGCTAATCCCAGTCCACGACATCAGGTTGCAAATATATAAGAAATAGGAAGTTAAAGTTTGTTGCAAGTATTCAGTACTTTTGTATTTGTCTTCTTTCGTAATTTCCTGGTTCGCTTCATGTTTTTCACTAATTTTTATATGATTGTAAAATCATTTAATATCATAAACATGAATATATTTAGATTTTAATGCATAGAATTGAAGTTAATCTTTAAATCGTGATATTCAAAAGGTTTAGGTTGTCATCTTTTGGTTGTAATCTTGTTCATAGTGGCCACCTAGCATAGCCTCCCTTCCAATAACCTTGCCCTATCTAATACTTCATTCTAATATCATTGCCCTATCTAATACTTCATTCTAATATCATTGCCCTATCCTATCCTTCATTCTAATATCATTGCCCTATCCTATCCTTCATTCTAATATCCTTGCCCTATCCAATCCTTCATTCTAATATTATTGCACTATCTTATCCTTCCTTTTAATATCCTTGCACTACCCTATCTTTCTTTTTAATATCATTGCCCTATCCTATATTTCCTTTCAATATCATTGCCCTATCCTATCCTTCCTTCTAATTTCCTTGCCCAATTCTATCCTTTCTTTTAATATCCCTGCCCTTTCCTATACTTCTTGCACTATCCCATCCTTATAATATCATTGCCCTATCCTATCCTTCCTTATCATATCATTGCCATATCTTATCCTCTTTTCTAATATCCTTGCCCTATCCCATCCTCTTATAATATCATTGCCCTATCATATCCTTCATTCTGATATAATTGCCCCATCCTATCCTTTCTTCTAATATCGTTGCCCTATCCTATCCCCTTCTCCATTATTATAAATAAAGAGAATGTGGAATGAATCTATTAAGGTGCCCTAAGAGCAAGACCGAGTTGTGGTCAATGAATCTCTTTAATCGATATATAAGAAGTAAAAGAGGTATAAATCTCCATCCCATAAAAACCGCAAAATTTAAAGAGAAAATCTACCAAAAGAAGGTGCAAAATGTGGTCCAACTGTACCCAGACAAAGTGACTAATTTTAAATTTATTATTCAATAATTTGAATGTGTTTGCTCTGATGGTCGGGTTACTGAATATTAAACATAAAAGATAAAACAGAGAAGACCGTTTAAAACTGTTTTTAAAAATAATAATATAAAATTTCAAGTTACTTTATTTTCGTTCTAAATATATTTATAAAAATCCCTTACCCCTAAGTTAAAAACTAAGTTTGACTTGTATTGCTTGCTGTTGTGTCTTTTTCAATAAACCCCTAGTTTGTGAGGTTTTACTCTCTTTTTCCCCCACCTCCATTAAAACCAGTTGATGGTTTGTTTTCACTCTCTTTTGATTCTACCATAGTGTAAACACGTGCGGGCTTAATAAGCCCTTTTAAATTAAACAAATCAATTTTGGTCTATAATCATTAATCAATCTCTGTGATTGTGATTAGACCCAAATATTATATCTAATTAGCAATTGTACCCAACGTTGCTTGTCCAAATCACTCCTTAATATTTCCAGGCAGATCTGGGTTCCCAAGCTAGTATCTAATAAATAATTACTTACATGTTACAGGCACTAGGTTAGGCTGCATCATCAACTGTTGAAACTGTTGTTGTTGTTGCTGTTGCTGCTGCTGTTGTTGTTGTTGCTGTTGCTGTTGCTGTTGTTGTTGTTGTAGAGGTTGATAGACTGGTAAACCGCTCTTATCTGATGCTGCTTGTCTCTTGTATGGCACCAAACTTCCGTTAGGTAGGGTCTGAAATATACAACATTTAATTTCATTGTTTTATTGAGAAGTAAAACATGACAGTTTTGAAAGAAACGAAAGATGACAAAATTTCTAATTTTTTGGTGAAGATATATTTTCTGAAATGTTTCCTACTTCCTACTGTTCCGTTCTTTATTCATCCTTTTAAACTCATTGCAAATCTTTTAATCCGTTCGTTATCGGATAGTTAGATCAAAAATACTGTTCTTTTTTAATTTGGCAGTTTTTTCTATTTGCGAAAGTTTTGGTTCATTTAAAAAAACAACTTCTGTTCAGAAATTATACCAGTTAAAAATTCCTATCTTTAATCAAATACGAACATTTTTTTACGTCTTTTTTTCTTCCCCTTGGGGGAGATGGTGGGTTTTAGGAATACAACATTTTCCTTTCATATACTGTGTTCATCTGGTTTTATAACAAATACGTCATAATGCGGTATTTCTATACAAGTTTTTAGAATTAAACGTCGAACAGGGTTATGTACATAAAAGATATTCCTCCCTGCTCTAACTATAAAAACAAAGTACTCAAAAAAATGGATTTGTCTTAAAGGAATTTATAATCCTAAATTTTCTAATCCTTATTTATGAAACACGATTTCATAGACTTTCCTTTTTATATTTTAAAGGAATGTGTTTGTTTTTTTAAAAACATTTTTTAGTCCTAACTTTTAGTATCTAACTTTCATGTTTATTCACACAAAACATATATTAGAATATAACTTTATTGTTATAAAGTTCTTAAAAGGTACAAAGGGAAAAGACAGACTAAAGTCTAACTTTAGGACAGGAGGGAGAAGTGCTCTGAATTCTCTGTAAAACACAAAATCTTTATTTTCATTGCCTTATTATAATTATGAGTAAAAAGCATGATTTAGCATGATTTAGATGTGGGATCAGAGCCATGGAAAACTGCTCTATCACGTATACCACGAACTATGCAAAAATGCTCCATCACTTGTAGAGAACACTGTACAGTGTACAAACTTCACGGTTCATGAAACATAAAGTTAAGAAAACGAAAAAATAAACAAATCCGCCAAATAAGGATAAAATCTGCACTTTCTATACATAGTATTGCCAAACAAGTATTAGCACAGTGTGGTAAATAAGTTGATGCAAACATAGTTTAACTGTCCATCAATGCAGATTGGTCTGTCTGAATAGACAAAAATACCATTAGTCACAATTCGTAATTGCATGAATTCAACATATTCAATAAGGACCAGACCGGAGTGCATCGGTCAAGATGGTCTGTGCACTGTAGTCTAAATTATTTAACACGAAAAAACGATCAAGATGGTTGTGCACTGTAATCTAAATTATTTAACACGAAAAAACGGTCAAGATGGTCGTGCACTGTAATCTAAACTATTCAACTCGAAATACAACGGTCAATATGGTCTGTGCACTGTAATTTAAACTATTCACGTCGAAATACAACGGTGAATATGGTCTGTGCACTGAAATCTAAACTATTCAACTCGAAATACAACGGTCAATATGGTCTGTGCACTGTAATCTAAACTATTCAACTCGAAATATGGCGGTCAAGATGGTCTGTGCATTGTAATCTAAACTATTCACGTCGAAATACAACGGTGAATATGGTCTGTGCACTGTAATCTAAACTATTCAACTCGAAATATGGCGGTCAAGATGGTCTGTGCATTGTAATCTAAGCTATTCACGTCGAAATACAACGGTAAATATGGTCTGTGCACTGTAATCTAAACTATTCAACTCGAAAAACAACGGTCAATATGGTCTGTGCACTGTAATCTAAACTATTCAACTTGGAATACAACGGTCAATATGGTCTGTGCACTGTAATCTAAACTATTCACGTCGAAAAACAACGGTGAATATGGTCTGTGCACTGTAATCTAAACTATTCAACTCGAAATAAAAGATCAAGAAGATCTGTTCACTGTAATCTGTAATCACACTGTTAAGAATAAAACAGTAATAAGGATCTCTCTGTAAAATTAACTAAAAAATCTAAGCCACTCTTTAAATGGGGAGTAACTCAAAATTACGCCAGCAGTTAATTGGTTCACCCCCCCCCCCACCCCTTCCAGCACTCCTCTCCTTAAATTTTCTGCAGTTTTTATTCGATCCTAGATCCTATGAAAAATGCATCTACTAATTCAAGTCAAATAAACGGTAAACTTGAATCCCGCCCTTTACCCAAATCTTCTGGGTTTAATATAAATATAACTAGGAGTAACCGGGTTGAACGGAGAATTAAACCCTGTTTACTGCAGTTAAACTTATAAAATTTACAGTTTACAGTCCTGCAACCCTAAACCTAGTTCAAATACTTCATCTAATATACTCAGTTTTCATTAGAACAAAAATATTTTTATTTTTAGCCGTAAACTTATATTAAATTCAATTTTTTGTAGGTTTTAAACATTAATTTGTTAGTTTTAGGGTCGGAGTTCATTTTAAAGCTCTCTTGAAAGTATGAATAAGCATTCATTAGCTCACAATAATCTTTCATTCATTCAACATCAACTATTCATCCTACATCAACTATTCATTCAACATCGGCTATTCATTCATTCAACATCAAATATTCATTTATTCAACATCAACAAAATTCATTCCCTTATAATTACTTTTATAACTCTGTGTCTGTTCACCCTTTTGAAATCGGCTCAAGAGGATATATCTCACCATCAAATAAAGCAAATCTAAAGAAACTCAATAAGTTCTGCAAACCAAGTGTTAGTTTCTAAGCAATGTGCGAAAATCTAACAAGCCTTGCAGTGCTGGCATCATACCACATCTTTAGAAACCGAAAAACGCTAGACTGGGACCAAGAAACTCCATTTCTGAAAACCATCTCTGAATAGCTAAACAAAACTCATGCTAAAAGTCTTGTATTGCACCTGTTTTTTTTGGCAAACCCCGTCAATCATAAAATGCAATATCCAGAGAAAAGAGTATTATAATTAAATTGTAAACTTTGATATTGTTTAATGTAATTTTGCTTTAGACAAATATAAATGATGAATATGTTTAAAATTTGGTTAACATATGCATAGATTTCAACGCAAGAAAATATTTGCACATTGACCTTATTTTCATACTTTAATTTCCCATTGTTGCACTTTATTGCCTAATAAGAATTGCAACATATGTGCATTTAGTACTTTGCAGAAAATTACAGTTCAAAAACTTTATTATTGTATGAAGAAAGGTTTTACTAAACCCATTTATGGTCTGAATCAATTTAAATATATTTACAATGCACCACGTCCTGTGCATGGTGCGAGCGCCGACTCAGATTTTTCAGTTTATAATAATTCACGTTTTTAGTCTAATACTCCAGGCACATATGTTTCCAAATCAAGTTTTATGAAGGCCAATAAAATATAACGAGGTCTGAGCATTGCTGAAATTCAAAAAAGCTAAAGCAAGTTTTTAAACCCGCCATCCCATCTACTTTTCCCCAAGCTTTAATGTAAGCGCTTGCATAAGTTCTGATAACACCTCCCCCCCCCCTCCTCCCGTATTCAATGTACATTTTACACACATACAGCTTTATAAATACCACCATTTTTAAAGGTTGACTAAAATTCTTAAAATAATTTTTTTTCCTTCTACCTATTTTAATGTTTCCCTCCCCCTTAGGTTTTTTACCTTAAAAAAAATAACTAGTTCTGTATATTGCCTTTTTTGGTTTTATCTTTTATCTATGGAATAATTTTGGTCATTTTCTGGAGGACTGATGAGGAAATAAAAATATTTCGAAATTAATTTCCAAATTCGATTTTTTTATATCTGCGAGAGCAAAAATCTTGTTTGCCGATAAAATACTAAGATTCAAATAGAGAGTTCCAAAAAAAGAGAAATAATAAGGTAAAAGTTGGATTTTCTTGAGGAAAGCATGGTCAAAATGGAGAAAAAGAATTTTTTTGACTTTCTTGCAACTTAAATATTTTACTCTGGTAAATTTGAACTTTAACCATAAATTCAAGGAATTCTCTAATTTAAGAATGGCATGTTCGATGTAGAATGGTAACCTTTAAATCTACAGCTGAGTAACAATGAGGAAGATATCCTCGTTTTCCATCAAGAAAAGTTTAAAATTCTTATTTTTTATACATTTCATTCTCTCTGCAGTCCCTTTATAGAGAAATTAAATTTAAAAAAATAGTTTTTTAGCTCAAAACTGTGGATATCTCACACAACCTTGGTCAAAGATAAATGGTCCGTTGTGAATTAGACATGATATTCTATAAATACAAGATCATTTGATATAATGTCTACAGTCCCTTTAAACTTTTTTTTCAGGAAGACAGGTTGTGATGAGAACTGGTATTGTAAACCATTGGAAAAGATTTAAAACTTTATTTCAGTTGGTCAAACAAGCTCAATAGGAAAGAGGGTTTAAATTTCTATCCTAATATGAATCTATTCAGTCTCTGATATCTCAGTTCTCTACCCGACACTAGAAGCTGATATCTCAGTTCTCTACCCGTCACTAAAAGCTGATATCTCAGTTCTCTCTACCCGACACTAGAAGCTGATATCTCAGTTCTCTACCCGACACTAGAAGCTGATATCTCAGTTCTCTACCCGACACTAGAAGCTGATATCTCAGTTCTCTCTACCCGACACTAGAAGCTCGCCACAAATGTTATCCTTTCAAAACCGTTTTTTTAGTAGTTCGTTAGTTCGTTAAGGAGTAATTTGTTTATTCGTTCATTAACCGTTTGATTCAGACAGGGGCGTATACATGAATTTGTCCAAGGGGAGGTTAAATTTTTATCTATGGGGGGGGGACTCAGCACCCGTTGGGGCCTGAAAACCCCCTAGAAATCATAGATTGTATTGATCCAGAAATTGAGCCACTATTGCCCAGAGGGAAGGGGTTTAACATTTTTTTTAAATTTAAGAGGGGAAATTCTCAGACCCTGATGGGGAAGGGCTTAATACCATAGTGGTATACGCCTCTAAACATATTTTCACGTTGGAAAGATCGTTCTTATCGTTGAGAAGTGTTTAACGAAGTTAGGCGGATTAGACACACAAACATCTTTATTGATATTCATGATGACAAGAGTTTAATATTTGAAATGAAAATATATGATTTTTCCTTGTGCAATGTGCACACTCCATAGACATTAAACAGCTTGGGATAGTCAATAAATTAAGACTTTAAAGACTTAATACTCGCACGGGTGCATATTTTTCCTCAATGCCCCCCCCCATAACCTAACCCTCCTTTACCCCAACAATTGTTTAAATTTAGCTTTATAAATCTGAACAAGCTTTAAAAAAAACATTTCATACAAAAAAGGAATTGAGTCTTTGTCACAAACTAAAATTTTCTAATCCCAATGTCTTTGCGACCTTATAGTGTAAACCTATGATATTTCAAACTTAGATTATTTGATCTAACTAAGTTTTAAATATATATGCGCCAAATTGTTAGGATTTTTTAATAAAAATATATATCCCTGTAAAGTGTAAATCAAGCTGACAATAAGTATTAGACATGTTGCTAGGCAGCATCTATGCAGTCAGGCAGCCCGTGTATTTTGCATTTAAATAGATAATCTTAATGTCGGTTTCTAAACAATTCAACTTATCACAGTCGACTAGAAAAGATTAAAAAAGTGAGTTATTTACGTGAATAGTGGAAAAAGGGTGTAAAAAAAAGACATTATATTTTCTTTAAAATTCTTGTATTCAAATATTTAGAATAATTTTTAAAGTTTTGTAAAGTTTAAATATTGAAAAAACAAAATTGGATTGCCGACTTTTTCAAGGCAAAAAGAAAATTCTTGAGCAAAAGTTAAAATAAACATTATTTTAAGACGGTAAAATGTAAGTTAATTTTTTATTTTTTGAACTTCGAGAGTTTATTTTAAAATAAGGCCGGGAACAATATTTTTCATTTTTGAATTTCATGAAAAAAACATGATTGTTTACATTTTTTATGATAATCATATAGATATAGGAGAATTAGAGACTCGTAACTTACAGTCAAGAATTTTCAAGCACAATTTAGTTTATTTAAATTGAGTTAAGATTTCAAATTCTAAATTACCTTATACAAATTGTATTTTTTTCTAAAATTTTTTTGACATTTGAACAATGTTTAATTACACCACATTCTGGAAATTTAAATAGATTTATAAAAGAGAGTGTTAGCGAAAAACGAAAGGGGGTGAACCAACATTAAACGATTGGTAGTGATGAACACTAACACCACTAGACAACTGAGGATTATTTAGAAGATCAAAAAAATGCTGCTCGATTGATTTCTAATAAAAGTATTGATTGTTCATCCTATTCTATTTTTTCAGCGAACAATAATTTTCAGCGTTTATTTAGAAAGAATAATTAAGGAACTAAAGCGTGTAATGAACAAGCATGCAGAAACAAACACAGACAAGCAACGGTGGTAAATAAGCACTATGTGAAAATATCTATAAGAAAAAAATATTACTTTTAAAGAATTTATATCTATCTTCTGTATAATAAAGCTCTTTTGTATATATGTATATTTTATTATAGCTGGCCAAACGGCTGAACCAAATTTAGGGAACCTCTGGGCTTCTCGCAGGTAACAAAGGTAAAAACAGCTGAAATCATGCTTTAATACCAAGCGCGGGTAAACGGCGAGTGTAACTATGAGTACTATCAGTGAAGTTTAAGATGACCGAAGTACTTCTGTTACCTTGCATTTGGCTAGGGGTAAATAGGAGGGAGGGGGGGGGTATTTTCTGATTTATTCGGAGAGAAAAATGTTTTAGACATGGCACAATAGTCGGAAAAACTAAATAATTTTTAAAGGGCTACGATAAACTTTTCATTGGATTCAAATTACAATCAAAACAAAAAAGGTTAGATTTAAATAGACTTTTTAGTGGCCAGATTAATTAGTAATTGGACAAATTATTTTCCTGTCCACAGAGAAGAGGGGGGGGGGTTTACCCCGTTCAATAGGGTTTAAAAGACTTTCTTTTTGGTATCATAGCCAATAAGGTTTTAGTAAGATTCATAATGAGGGTCTATAAATATAAAAAATACCCAAGCTTTCCAAAATATTTGACTTCGCTAATACTACTATAAGAATAAGTATCAGACCTCAAAAAGCGGACGAAATATTGCCAATAGCTTTTGTGTTAAGTAGAGTTTTATTAGTCCTACAAATTCAAACTATTTAAACTTAGAGAAAAAAATATCTTAACTAAATATATTTAGGAAAGTTTAATGTTTGTAAGCATGATTAATGCAGGTCGGCAGTATTCTGTTAATTTGGAAAAAACTGGTTTAAATGCATTTTCGAAATGTAAAATTGTCTCATGCAGTAAAAGGTCAACGAACTGAAACCATATGCACTAATCACGCTTCACTTCACAAAACTAGGCATCTAAAACTGCAGAAAATAAAATAAATAAATTTATTTTAATATTAGTAAAGCTAGCATGATCTGTACAAATGTGTAATGCGTATGAAAGAAAACTGACCACGCTGTTAAATAAAAACCGGAAATGCTATTGACGCCATTTTGAAAAAATAAACCGGTTTTGATTTAACATCAAGATCTCGAGTTGCCAATGGTGAAAATAAAAACATAATTATACCAGATGGAAAACCTCCTCATCCTCTAGAGGTCGTTTCTTGCCGGCTACGAGGCTGGGTTGGCCAGCAGAGAGGGTGAGCTGGGTGAGGTCCAGGGGGAGGCCGGGAATACCGACTGGAGGTCCCATCATCATCATCTGATAACCAAAGCAATAGCGTAGCGTGTAATAACTGGCGGCGGCAAGAAAAAAAAGAAAGAAAAAGACTTAATCCTTAAATATGTATAAGCTTAAAGTCCAATAAGCACGCTACAATGTTAAGTATCACCATACTGCATAAAAATTGTCAGTTTTTGGTCTGTATTTCTAAATGTTGATTTAACTAGGGCACTTTTCCTCCGCTTTTCAGAAAATGGGCAAAAAAGCATTTCATGCAAATACTAATTCAACATTTTCGTGTACAGGTGTGATATGTTACAATTTTCAGTTGTTTGTCTCGTATTTTGTTTTAATTCTAACAGGGCATGCACTATACAAATGCATTATTTTTAAGATAAGATTAATAAATCTAAAAAGTTTAACTGTTTTTTTAACGTTTAGTTTTTTTAATATAAATTGTCATCTTTGCAATAAAGTTGGCATAAAAAAAGAAGGAAAGGGGGTTGTAATGTTTAATAAAGTTAAAATTTGCTGTCAAGTTTTCTTTCGCAGACATTTTTTTTAAAAAACAACGAAATTGTTCGAGCACATTTAATAACATGTCCTAAATTAGAAAGTTGCAGATTACAGTTACTAAGAATCTAGGACATTGAAAAGTGTCCTAAAATGCTTGTTTATCAACCTAGCCCCCCTTCTTATCAACCTAGCCCCCCTTCTTTGAGTCAATTTCTATTGATGTTAATTTTATTTGCAAAGCAGTGGAAAGATACTTTTAAGCAAGAACACACCTGGTGCAGACAACAAGCAGATTAACAGGGCTGCATGCAAAGATTATTTATTTAATTAGAACATTTAACAAAGTAAAGTGTCAAAGCTTGCAAGAGGAAAAGATTCCGGTTTAGTATCAACAACAAAAACCTTTGTCTGGGGAGCAGTTGATTTAAATGAAAAAACAGAAATAGCTTCTTTCAAAAATCTTAAATTAGCAAAAATCAAGAAGTAAATTATTTCTGTTATTTCTGCAGTATGGCGAAATAACAGAAAAATGCCGTTTTTCTTATATGTAAACAAGACACATTGTCAAATCAGTCTAGTCTCACAAAAATACTCTATCTGGCATAAAAAAGAAAAATAATACAATTAAAAAACTTTTTTCTAGATAAGCCACTGAAACTGCGGTTGGATTTGGATCTACTAAGGCTCCAAAAAGTTGACTACGCTATCCCTACCTCGTGACGTTTCTGTATGGTGTGATGAGGGGCGGCGGGCTGGGATGGCGGTGGCGCGTGAGTAGCACCATCTATAAGTGGTGAGATGAGCCCTGTCTGGAGGTATGGAGAGTAAGCCAGCGGAACCTGACCGCCAAGATATTGATGACCAAACTGAAACAAAATAAAGTGAAAAAAGTACTTCTTGTTTTATTAATGATTAAACATGTGACATTTAAAAAAGTAAAAAATTGTGAACAAAACATTGATTACGAAGGTACCTACAAAGGACAAAGGTTTTTTTAGTCAATTATTGTAGATTTTTTTTTGCAACTGAAAAGCACTATTCTTTGATAAGCATTTAGCAACTTCGATTAAATAGTTTGTACATTATAGGTCGTATTTAAAGTTTCATCAATTGTGGAGAAACCTGTGCTTGCAGTTAAATTATGTTCTAAAAGAAAGAAAAACAACGTATTTACTATTTGCAAACAAAAAAAAACATTCCTAATTATAATTAGTGTTTTTAATCTTAAAATTGTTTGAATTCTATAGACGAAATTTTTTTAATCAATGTTTAAGAGGCTGTAAGCGTTATTTGAAGTGACCCAATATGCAAAGAAGGCAATGACCGATTCACAACGCTACCCTTTAAAGCATTGTCTAGTCAAGTATGAATTAGATTTCAATATTTAAAACTTGTTGTTTTCATTTGTGGGTTCTTTACAAAAGTGACTTTCTACTGCAGAAATTATCAGAATTAAACACTTTTATGCCAGAAAAACGTAAACTATCTTCCTAATTTATTGATCAGATGGCAATATTGTGAATCGGGCATTGCCATCTTTGCATGGAATTCGCTTTAAATTATGCATACATTCCCTTTAAACTATAACGCTATAACAGAATTAAACAGGATGGATATTACAAAACCGTGAATAGATGCAGTTTAAATTGGGTAAAGGGGGGAGAGGGCAATAGCGCTGAAAGCTCCCAGGCTGCTACTGCTTAAAGGGAATGTTCATCTATTTTGAAATACGCATAATATCCCTTTTTTTCTTGGAAAATTATTATTGCCAAATCTTTCGGTTTTCGAGCTAACAAGGTTAGTATTTTTGCGCTTTAAATTGGCGACGAATTTAAATTTTAAAAATCTGAGCAGACCTCTTTTTTATTTCACACACACATATATATATATTGTCTCATGCAGTAAAAGGTCAACGAACTGAAACCATATGCACTAATCACGCTTCACTTCACAAAACTAGGCATCTAAAACTGCAGAAAATAAAATAAATAAATTTATTTTAATATTAGTAAAGCTAGCATGATCTGTACAAATGTGTAATGCGTATGAAA